GGTCTCTTGTATATATCTCACCACCCATGATTGTGGATTGCTAAAGCATACCTCGTTCCTCTACTGCAAAGTATTTTGGAGTTCTCATATGCCACAATATATCTTGGCTTACACATATTCCCGAAGTTGTTAAAAAAGGCTCGTGTTTAACAACCTTAATCTTAATTGCCTTTCGTTCCTCATGTCTTAATCCTGAGTTGTAAGAATATGTAGTACACCTCAATGGTTATACTGTTCCCAAAACTTTTGCAAAAAGGGGTTTCACTTGTTCGTTCGCTAAAATTTATTTCTCATAGCTCTGGATTAAGGAAAGAACAGCTAGTTGATTTTATCGTTAGCAAACCTTTCGATGAATGCAGCAACTTTTCACCCAGGATTCTAGCCGATCCCGCTCACCCTCCGCATACTATCCTAGCGTGTAATAGGTCCACTTCTTCCACATGGTCGAATTTTAAGTTTTATAATCCCGTATCTAGTCGTATCGAAACCCCATTCCGACTTATCTATCACGCCTATTAGCCGACGCAGCAGGAATGAAACACCGCTTGCGTAACCACGTGCTTGATTGAAGAGAAACCCTTATCATGTTACTGCTGTCAATTTTTACTTACGCATTGATGCTTTGTTGTAATGTATTCCGTAGTGTTAGTGTGATTTGCTGAAAATAAACCAATATGAGTGGATAAAGCTTAGTTTGAATTGACTTGACTAGGTAGGAGAGATCCTCAGGCAACATATATGAAATCCCATTGACTGACGGGATTGAAAGGATAATTGTTTACATAAACTGCTTTTCAATAAGTCGTATCAGGCTCGTACAATCAGGAAACAAACGTTCGTAGTGAACAGTTGGTTCCAGTTCGGAGCACAATCTATGACCTGCATCTATCGAGAACGAAGGGGAACGCTGGGAAGCAACTAATTGCGGCAACAATCGATGGCCGGCCTAAACGTGCCGCCACAAATGCTTGAGTAGGCGGTTCACCGACTGTGCTATGGTTACGACAGGATAAGGATTTGCACGAGTGCTCCATGTCTGCACAGCTTTGGCCGCAATTGTTTGAGTGCAATGGTTTCAGCCGTCACTAAAAGGCTCTCGTTGAGTTCTCTGAGTTCTTGTTCGATAAGGATAAGAACGCTTAAATGAGTCGTAATGCCAAATTCGATGTACTGTGATAATTATGTTCAGCAAGATGGAAATAGGTATTTTCTCGACAGTGCCATGTTGCAACAAAAGGGTAAGATTCCGTCAATCGCCTCACTTGAAAGCTTGTTCGAGGTGCATTGCACCACAGGTGTTTATGAACTGAGTTATAACCATAGAATCGAACCGAGTCAAATATCTGTCCGCAAGGCGTTTGGTAGTGATGGGGGTTTTAATGCACGAGTAAGGACCGTAGTGACCAGACAAGCCTTGTCAAAAGTAGCCGGCAATCTATAGAGCGATTCAAGTGATACCTTTATCGAAAGCAAATGGGAACAGAACGTAACCTCTTCTTGCAGTCAGTCCCGCGTTAGGTCGATCGGAGACTACGGAATGCTATTTGGTCAGCATGGTAGGGGAATCATTGTTCTGCAGTGTCTTGTAAATGAATTGATTGGTGTATTCTGATGGTTCTTGGTTGAAAATGCTAGCGTCCCGGGATTACAGAGTAAGTACTGGATTTCTTTTACGCCTCGTGGATACAAAACTGAAAACTTGAGTGCACTGATTGCCCAGGTTGTCCTCCGGAAGACCAAATTTTCGAGCGACTCATTGTTTCTTCGTCGCAGCATCATATTCAGAAATGTCAGATTACCGATGCTCTCAATCACACAGGGGAATTTCAGTGAAAAGTTTGCGATGGTTAACTTTATGGATGATGTGGGACGAGAAGTTTTGGGAGTCCTTAAATAATACAACAGTGAATATGCATGCGTGTTTGTTCGGATAGAACCTCTGAATGCTTGTGCAACGTGTTATAGGGCTCACTTCTAAGACCATCACCCCAAAGTACATGGTAGTTGTCGTCCTATGGTGAAATGTATTGGTACCCAGTGAGCCGAAACCGAACATTCAATACGTGACGCCGTTTGACTGTGCAGACGACAGGAACGAGCGCATAGCCAGAGGACGAAAACTTTACATTTTCATCAGTCATCTGGCTGAGCGTAATTGCGCGCGATAGAAGGACAGCTCAGAATTGGTTCGATGAAGCAGAGAAGAGGCACCAGCAGCTGCAGACGGAAAGTTTCGACCACTGAAACTGAGACACAGCTCAAAGAGGAAGAGCGAGCCAACGATGTTGAACGAAAATGGAACAGTGTTCCAAATGTCTGCACATTATAAGTGACTATGCTCTTCATAACAGATCTTTGATGGTTGTGCAGGCTCCGCCCAGACTTTGGGAGGGTCACATGACACATATAAAAAAATGCTGTGGGACAGGCAAACTTAACCAAACCACTTCACCATAAGCTCGGGATTACTATGCATAGATGGGTAGTTATCAGGGTGATCGTATTGTCACCTTCATATCTGAGTCGCAGATATGAAACAAAGTATTCGGTTACAGTACCTCTGAAAGTGCATTAAAGTGCTCAGCACCACAACACCGGATATGAAAACAGCAGAAGAAAACGCAGGTTACAGGTAGCTAGAGAATTTATACAGCAGAAGGATGCGATTCTGGGCTCAAACGTTGTGAGGAGTCAAGAGAGACACCTGCTCGGCGAAGCTCATCTACGTGTTTCAGGGCTCCAACGGGGTTGTCCTTGTGTGTGAGCAGGAACCCTTGAACTTGCGCAGAACTCAGACAGACATGTTCCAGTTGACGTGCGAACTCGGTAGCCAGCGACTGGATTGTGTGCGGAGCGTGAGTGTGACTTGTGGTAGACAGTATCTGTTGCTCACCGGTATAGCCGGGATCCGATACCACCGGGGTGGGGCCATCGTCGGAGGGAAAGAAGCGGGAAAACATTCGTCGTAACTGGAAGGCATCACAATAATCTACATGAACTCGCATGTCCACTCTACCGGGCCGGATCAGAGCTGCATCTAGTCTGTGAAAGTAAGAAGAAGGAGGATCAGTTAATCACTAGAGACGAGAATGGCTTTAGGTTAGAAAGTCACATTAAAATATGCTGTTCGTTTTCATGGAGAGAGGTTTAAAAAAGGAACAGAGACAGAAGTCGTTTAACATACCGGATAACAAAAGGGAAAACGAAGGTCCGAGTAGAATACACACAGCGACAGGTACTGTAGGGAGAACATGGATGTGCTCAATTCGTGCTGACAGCTGGACGCTGCCAGTGGATGGGAAAGTGCAACTACCTACCAAGCCGAAATGAATTTATATTGATTCTCGAAAATTAAGCTACTCACATAATCCACAAGTAGTCATATTGATTCACCAGGGTTGAGTTCATACAGGTGACTATCTGAAGGTGACTAAGTGGACAACAGACCGCAAATCGGCCGCCGAAAAGTGCCTCGCTGCACCGAGAACATTGTCCCGTAAGCATCCCCTGGTACACGCGTAGCGTCCCCACAAAGTCTCCAAACTTCGACAGCAAACGCGATAAGATCTAACATAAACCGGGTGGCATTTACAATGGCAGCTCGCAAGTATAGCTAACAGTGGGTGCAACCAGACAAGCTTAAGGTGCAAAATGAATGACGGAAGTTCACACCTACGTCCAAGGCAGCTTTAGGCTAACAAATAATTGTTTCTGAACACACAAGGCGGGCTTAATCCGGCTAATTGCGACAGCCTCGGCAAACCGAAGGAAACGGGGATTAGTGTGACGTAACACAACTTTAAACGCTGAGCCCAGCTCTAATTGGTGACCCGAGTCTAATAGGTGTTTGCCTATCGAGGAAGCCGGCGGTCTGCGCGAACATGGAATCTGACGAGGGTAGGCAATCTGAGCAACTTCACGTCGAACCCATCTTGGCACATGTTCCTTTATTCGGGAAGTCAGCGTTCTGTTGGTTCTGCCTATGTAACTTTTTCCGCAGTCACATACAAATTGGTATACACAGTGTGAGTTGGCCCCAATAGGCTGAGCTTCTTTCGTTGGAGGTATGGGCAAATTTCGGGTTCGGTTGATAACGACAACTTGTGCAGCATAGTAACCTTTTTGTGTAGCAGAAATTATACGCTTAGTTGTCTTCAGCGTGGCTAAGTCACTTTTGAAAGGTAACTCGATATACACTTTATTCTTGGCTGCCGTGTGCACCAAGTCCTTTGGTCCTCGCGGTTGGCTGTGTTTCTCCATAAATCTTCGAGGGTAGCCATTCGCCATTAGTGTTGCTGTAATGAACACCAGCTCATCGTCCAGACAGTCGGCCGAACAAATTCGTCTGGCACGACTAACTAGAGTCTTCACAAGTGTCCGTTTGTGCCACACTGGTGTGAAGCTGGTGAAGTGCAGCTCGCAAGCCACATGTTGGCTTGCGAGCTGCCATTTTAAATGCCACCTGGTTTATGTTAGATCTTATCGCGTTTGCTGTCGAAGTTTGGAGACTTTGTGGGGACGCTACGCGTGCACCAGGGGATGCTTACGGCACAATGTTCTCGGTGCAGCGAGGCACTTTTCGGCGGCCGATTGCGGTCTGTTGTCCACTTAGTCACCTTCAGATAGGCACCTGTATGAACTCAACCCTGGTGAATCAATATGACTACTTGTGGATTTTGTGAGTAGTGTAATTTTCGATCATCAATATGAATTCATTTCGGCGTCGTAGGTAGTTGCACTCTCCCATCCACTGGCAGCGTCCAGCTATCAGCACGAATTGAGCACATCCATGTTCTCCCCACAGTACCTGTCGCTGTGTGTATTCTACTCGAACCTTCGTTTTCCCTTTTGTTATCCGGTATGTTAAACGACTTCTGTTTCTGTTCCTTTTTTAAACCTCTCTCCATGAAAACGAACAGCATATTTTAATGTGACTTTCTAACCTAAAGCCATTCTCGTCTCTAGTGATTAACTTATCCTCCTTCTTCTTACCTTCACAGACTAGATGCAGCTCTGATCCGGCCCGGTAGAGTGGACATGCGAGTTCATGTAGATTATTGTGATGCCTTCCAGTTACGACGAATGTTTTCCCGCTTCTTTCCCTCTGACGATGGCCCCACCCCGGTGGTGTCGGATCCCGGCTATACCGGTGAGCAACAGACACTGTCTACCACAAGTCACACTCACGCTCCACACACAATTCAGTCGCTGGCTACCGAGTTCGCACGTCAACTGGAACATGTCTGTCTGAGTTCTGCGCAAGTTCAAGGGTTCCTGCTCACACACAAGGACAACCCCGTTGGAGCCCTGAAACACGTAGACGAGCTTCGCCGAGCAGGTGTCTCTCTTGACTCCTCACAACGTTTGAGCCCAGAATCGCATCCTTCTGCTGTATAAATTCTCTAGCTATCTGTAATCTGCGTTTTCTTCTGCTGTTTTCATATCCGGTGTTGTGGTGCTGAGCACTTTAATGCACTTTCAGAGGTATTGTAACCGAATACTTTGTTTCGTATCTGCGACTCAGATATGAAGGTGACAATACGATCACCCTGATAACTACCCATCTATGCATAGTAATCCCGAGCTTATGGTGAAGTGGTTTGGTTAAGTTTGCCTGTCCCACAGCATTTGTTTATATGTGTCATGTGACCCTCCCAAAGTCTGGGCGGAGCCTGCACAACCATCAAAGATCTGTTATGAAGAGCATAGTCACTTATAATGTGCAGACATTTGGAACATTGTTCCATTTTCGTTCAACATCGTTGGCTCGCTCTTCCTCTTTGAGCTGTGTCTCAGTTTCAGTGGTCGAAACTTTTCGTCTGCGTCTGCTGGTGCCTCTTCTCTGCTTCATCGAACCAATTCTGAGCTGTCCTTCTATCGCGCGCAATTACGCTCAGCCAGATGACTGATGAAAATGTGAAGTTTTCGTCCTCTGGCTATGCGCTCGTTCCTGTCGTCTGCACCGTCAAACGGCGTCACGTATTGAATGTTCGGTTTCGACTCACTGGGTACCAATACCTTTCACCATAGGACGACAACTACCATGTACTTTGGGGTGATGGTCTTAGAAGTGAGCCACGTTGCACAAGCATTCAGAGGTTCTATCCGAACAAACACGCATGCATATTCACTGTTGTATTATTTAAGGACTTCCAAAACTTCTCGTCCCACATCATCCATAAAGTTAACCATCTCAAACTTTTCACTGAAATTCCCCTGTGTGATTGAGAGCATCGGTAATCTGACGTTTCTGAATATGATGCTGCGACGAAGAAACAATGAGTCGCTCGAAAATTTGGTCTTCCGGAGGACAACCTGGGCAGTCAGTGCACTCACCTTTTCAGTTTTGTATCCACGAGACGTAAAAGAAATCCAGTACATACTCTGTAATCCCGGGACGCTAGCATTTTCAACCAAGAAACATTAGAATACACCAATCAATTCATTTACAAGACACTGGAGAATAATGATTCCCCTACCACGCTCACCAAATAGCACTCCGTAGACTCCGATCGACCTAACGCGGTACCGACTGCAAGAAGTTACATTCTGTTCCCATTTGCTTTCGATAAAAGTGTCACTTGAATCGCTGGATAAATTGCCGGCTGCTTTTGACAAGGCTTGTTTGGTCACTATGGTCTATACCCGTGCATTAAAACCCCATCACTACCAAACGCCCTGTGGACAGATATTTGACTACGTTCGATTCTCTCGTTATAACTCAGCTCATATACACCTGCGGTGCAATGAACCTCGAACAAACTGTCAGGTGAGGCGATTTGCGGACTCTTACCCTTTTGTTGCAACATGGCACTGTCGAGAAAATACCTAGTTCCATCTTGGTGAACCTAATTATCATAGTACATCGAATTTGGCATTACGGCTCATTTAAGAGTTCTTATCCTTATCGAATAGGAACCCAGAGAACTCAAATAGGGCCTTTTAGTGACGGCTGAAACCATTGCACTCAAACAATTGCGGCCAAAGCTGTGCAGACATGGAGCACTCGTGCAAATCCTTATTCTGTCGTAACCATACAATAGTCGGTGAACCGCGCCTACTCAATCATTTGTGCCGGTACGTTTAGGTCGGCCATCGATTGTTGCCGCAATTAGTTGATTTCCAGCGTCCCTCTTCGTTTTGCATAGACGCAGGTCACTACGAACGTTTGTTTCCTGATTACACGAGCCTGATGCGACTTATTGGAAAGCAGCTTATGTAAACAATTATCCTTTCAATCCCCGTCAGTCAACGGGATTTCATATACGTTGCCTGAGGATCTCTCCTAACTAGTTCAAAATAAGCTTTATACACTAATATGGGTTTATTTTCAGCAATTCACACTAACACTGCGGAATACATTACAACAATGCATCAATGCGAAAGTAAAAATTGACAGCAGTAAAATGAAAAGGGTTTATCTTCAATCAAGTATGCGGTTACGCAAGCGGTGTTTCATTTCTGCTGCATCGGCTAGTAAGCGTGATAGATAAGGCGGAATGGGGTTTCGATACGACTAGATACGGGATTATTACACCTAAAATTCGACTGTGTGGAAGAAGTGGACCTATTACACGCTAGGATAATATGTAAAGGATGAGCGGGATCGTCTAGAATCCTGGGTGAAAAGTTGCTGCATTCATCGAAATGTTTGCTAACGATAAAATCAACTAGCTGTTCTTTCCTTAATCTAGAGCTATGAGAAATAAACTTTAACGAACGAACAATTGAAACCACCTTTTTGCAAAAGTTTTGGGAACAGTATAACCATTGAGGTATACTACATACTTTTACAACTCTTAGGATTAAGACATGAGGAACGGAAGGCAATTAAGGATAAGGGTGTAAAAAACGAACCTTTTTTTAACAACTTCGGGAATATGTGTAGGCCAAGATATATTGTGGCATATGAGAACTCCAAAATACTTTGCAGTAGAGGAACGAGGTATGCTTTAGCAATCCACAATCACGGGTGATGAGATATACAAGGGACCGCAGTCTGTTTGGTGTAATCAAAATGGTAGCCGTAGGCTCTTGCTTCTATTATCCAACGCGAACGCAATGGGTACGATACGGCATTCAGTGCTGATTTATAAGCCAACTGTTTGACATCATCAGTATGACTGCCTGTCAAAATACGGGGGAATAGTAGCTTTTCCAGTACCTGTAAGCAGAGACGAGTGACTAAGGGAGGGCCATGGGCTTCTGTGTGAACTGCAACCGAACACGAATGAGCCACATGGCTGTCAACGGTCTTCGTATCCAGCGCTCACTCCGCTCTCTTACGGGTAAGGTCTTTAAGACCAAAGGCTCGAGGTGCAGTCACTTAAGTCAACCCTCTTCATCGGCCTGGGCTTCTGGGAAGCCATTTGTCCACACAACATAATCCCGCTTAACCCTTCCATTGAGTGTCCTTTGCTGGGGCTGATGTTGCATTCATGATACTTCTTACCGCAGTTGGGCTAAACCAACTTACACTTCAACTAGGTCTTTTTAAGCTGGATGAATTTCATTCCAATTTATTTGGTTTGTTCTGCCTACCTGACTAATCTTCTATTAACTGGCTACGTTGCTTATGCTAATTGTGGTTATCTTCGTTAACTTTATTGCGTTTGTAGCATTTTTCTTGGGACACATCAGTAGTGCGCACCCACCGAATCCTGCAGGATTCGAACCCACGACCTTACTCTTGCGAGTCAGTGAATTATGTCACTGAGCCATGGGCGGTGGCAGCGGACCGCCATGACTGATATCTAACTCCGATATAGCGCGGCTCATCCTCCACTGTCTTGCATGTTTTGTATGTGCAGAGGACAGGGCTGGCCCTCAGCGCAACGATTTCCTTTGCAATTTGTATTTTTCCTACTACTGCGTTATCCCTAAAGCAAGTGAAACTGTAGCACATATTTTAAACAAGCACGAATATTTGGCTAGTGTAAATACCACTATCATCGACGATGTACTATTAACCCTCATGCAAACGGTCGATGCCTCCCATAGCATAATTTGGGTTGGCTATGATCTCATTTACCGAATTTCTTGAACAATGATTTATCACGGGATAAAAGCAAGTGCTTGACACGTCCCGTAGGATGGTAGCGGTGAATATGATGCAATTAAACTATGCCTGGGTCATCTATCGAACGTCTGCCGAGATGAATACTTTGATAATTAACATCAGTGTAAAATGAAAAAGAAATATCGCGCGTAAACATTCAGAAAGACACTGGGGTGCAGTGATCGTTGAAATAAGACGTGAGAACAGTAAAATATGGTCTTTACCAACGAAAACTCCAAGTACGTGTTAGGGGATCACTTTCTAATCCAATTGAGGTGGAATGTGGTGTCCCACAAGGCTCAGTGCTGGGACTGCGTTTATTCCTGGTGTTTATCAACGACCTGGCAAGAGTCATCTCAAACTTCCTGCTTTTCGCCGATGACGTCAAGATATGGCGGGCGATTAGTAACAAGACAGATCAGGATCTGCTCCAACATGACCTAGATTACATTTACGAATGGTCAAAGAGGAACATGCTTCAATTGAACATGGCTAAATGCAAAGTGATGCATCTGCGTCACCAGCCGGTGAGCGCTTACAAGATTGGAGACCACACCTTGGTGAAGGTTTCTCAGGAGCGTGACCTGGGTGTATTGGTACAGGAAGATCTCGGGTGTTCCAAACAAGCAGAGAAGGCGAGGAGAACCGGAAATCAACACTTCGGTCTTCTTCGCAGAGCATTCGGTCGGTTTAAACCCTTAATATTTCCCCAAATGTTTAACGCCTACGTACGACCTCACGTGGAATATGCTATTCAGGCGTGGCAGCCGTGGCAGAAGCATGATCTCGTTGCTCTCGAGACTCCTCAACGACGGGCAACCAAGAACGTCAGGGGCCTCTTTCATCTGCCCTATCAGCTTAGACTGAAATCTCTAAGAATATACAGTAGTCGATATCGGCTTTTGTGGGGGGATCTCATAATGGTTTACCAGATTCTGAAGAACCCAAACCACATTTGCCGTCCGCTGCTGGAATTGAACCACAACATTAAACTAAGAGGTCACCATCTGAAACTGACAATTCATTATAGCCAGCTTGAATGCCGTAGAAATTTCTTTTCTCTCCGCGTGTGTGAGCCTTGGAATGCCCTCCCTAATTATGTCGTCTCTGCTCCCAATCTGGCGATATTTAAAAAACGTGTTGACGATGCATTGTCTCACTTACATTTCATTTTATGACCTGTTAGCCAGGGGCTGCAAAACGCAATCAAACGGTTTCTTGCCAAACGCCTAACCAATGGATTTATGGATTTATACGTTTAATACGCGAACATCTCCGCTATTCCACATAAGCCTATGGTGAGTCCACCACAAAGCTTTTCACTTTATTATGCAATTGA